CCAGTGATGCATATCTGCTGCTATATGAATGCGCTTATCTTTCTTTCATAAGAGGGTGTGTTCAGATTGGAGGATTGCAGGCTGGGTGAGATTTCAAGCAGAGCGTCTGAACAGGGAAGTCACGTCGGCTTAGCCATGCTGAAGTAAATCAGCTGCATTATTTATGTTCTGCAGAGCAGGCTGGGTCTTTTCAAGTGCTTTGGGATCCAGGGGCCAAGCATCTCACAGAAGAACCATGAAATACTGAAAAACCATCACCATTATTTACACCTGAGATTATAGGAAACATAGGCTATCTTTGTAAACAGAGTAGGGATGCACCGAATATTCGGTAACCAAAATTATTCGGCCGAAAATAGCAAAAAAAGATATTTCGTGTTCGGCCGAATAATATGTACCGAACAATGACTAACGCGATCAAATAGAGGCACGCACTAATGCAGCAATTATGTCGGTAGTGTGAAAGTATTTCAAACTATCAGGGAAAGACGCAGAAATCATTAAACAGCGAGAGGCTGTTTAGTGCTGCATCAGGTCTCCGATGAGAAGAAGAGGTGGCTAATGCTGGTGGTTAAGTTACTGTATGATGATTGAAATCGCATCAAACGATTAGTAAATAAACTGCAGAATGTTATATTTTCTAATGCACGCACGAATTGCACGTATTCTGACAGCGCTGCACGAGCTCGCGGCGCCAGGGTGCGAAGTCCAAACTAGCGCGAGGAAAATCTGCGCTGAAACGGCTCTGTTAATACATTTATTATAACATTCACACATAGTGTTCAAACAGGGATCTGTAATATATTCTAATGTTTTAAAAGATTCTCTTCTGCTCAGCAAGGCTGCCTTTATTTGTACAGTAAAAAAATACATGCCTGATTCAAGTCTCAAAAATGGCCAAAAAATATTATTTTACTAACTTATTAATTTGAAGTTAAATTGTGCTTTGTTGGTATAATGTCTGCTAGAATGTTTTAAAAAATGTTCAGTGTTAAGTAAATATTTTTAAATTGTTGTTTTGTAATTTATTTTTTATTTGAAAAGCAGGACAAAACACATTTTGGCAATTTAATTAATGCAATGGTGGGGGGAAAAAACGGCAAAATATGCCTACATGGAGGAACAATGTGAAAAACCGTGTTCGGCCTTCGGCCCAGTGTTTCATTTTGTTCGGCTTCGGCCAAGAATTTTCATTTCGGTGCATCCCTAAAACAGAGGCAAGGCTCTCTGCATCGACACGGACAGTAGACTGTTATTTAGTCTGCCGTCTCTTCTAGAAAGAGCAGAGTCAAACTTTGAAGAACTTCCCCGTGTTGATTTAAGATCCTACACGGGTTTCATGCCACGCTTGAAAGCCGAGAGCCCCTGTTCAACAGTAAACAACATCTATGTGTGAGCCCTCTGTGGGCATTCATCTCATTTTAGTTCCCACTCAGCTGACAAGAGGTCAAGGTCACATGAACAGAAGGGAGTCTCTGGAGCTGATATTTGGTTACATTCATGCCACGTGACAGCTTTCAAGAGACTTTCAGTGGTAATTCTGCATACCATCTACTCATCAGGCTTTTATATTGGATAACAAGCAATACAGTCTTTTTAAAAAATATTTTAAAATACGTCTAAACTAGTCGCAGAAACTTTAAACTTAGCAAACTATAGTTCTTTCTCTATATTTTAAGATATTTTTTAGAAATAATAATAATAACAACAATAACGCTAATATTAAAACTCCAGCAACATGGGCTACAAAGAGACTTCCGTCATGTTCTGCTGAAGTTGCTACATTGTTTCTCTCTCTTCATGCTGTAAGCTCAGAGAGTGATGGGCCAGGGAAGGGCTCTCATTCAAGCATCACCCCTCAGTAAGACGAAACTTTACCTCTTTCAGTCTCTGACACGAGTAAATCCACAAATCCAGCCGGACCGGTCTGTCCAACAATGACCAGCACAGAGTATCTGTCGCTGGAGAAACCGGCTCGAGCGCTTCGGCTGGAGTTGTCCATGCTCGCCAGCTCGCCGCTGTGGTCTGCCGCCATGTTGCAAAGTTTACACACATTCGTGAAGAAGTCGTTCGTTTCTTCTTGTTCTTCTTCTTTGGAATTTTTTTTGGCGTATTCCGCACCATAGGCACATACCGCCACCAACTGTTTCTATTCATGCATGGCTGATAGTCCCGCCTCTATTCATATTTTTTTTTTATTTATTTTTTTTTATTGTTAATTTTATTTCCAAGCTGTATTTCTGGCTGCTGCGTGTTCAGCTCCCATGCCAAAAAACCCAGCTTGTGTGTTCCCCTATTCCTTTGCTTTATTTAGTTATTTATTTAACTATCAAATTCGTTTATTTAATCCTGTTTCTACTATATATTCCATTACTATTCTTTGATTACTACCTTCTCTTAATCCTTTTCCTAATATCCAATTTATCTTCTTTTTTTTCTTTATTATTACCAATTAAGTTCTTTATCATTTTAATTCTCTCTATATTATATTTCCGACATTTTAATATATTACATGTTCAACGGTTTCTATTACCCCACAAAAAGCACATTTGAGTCGTTCGTTTGACTCGGTTCTCTTTAATGATTCAGTCGAACCGATTCTCTCTGGATCTTTTACGAAGAACAGGCTGCGAGGGAAAAATTGGAGCAACATACGCATTTGACTCTAAAGATTATTTATTTATTTATTTATTAAGATGTAGGGATGAAAAAAAATCAATTAAATCAATCTGATACATATATGCATTTCTATACATTTACATTTAGTCATTGGCAGATGCTTTTATCCAAAGCGACTTAAATGGGGACAATGGAAGCAATCAAAATATTGCTCAACAAAAGAGCAATATACGCAAGTGCTATAACAAGTCTCAGTTAGCTTAACGCAGTACACTTAGCAAGGTTTTTTTTAATTATATAATAAATAAAAGGAAAACAGAAGCTAAGCTGAATACAACGAATATCTTTATTATAACTTACTCAAAAAAACATGGTGATAACAGCCAGACATTAAAACAATGTAACATAAAATGCTACTCGTGGGTATTCTGGCAAGTGGCAACAATTTAAACTCGAAAGAACCGGCTCACTGAAATGACTCGTTCGAACGAACCGACCCCCTCAAATGAATCGGACAGCCCAACAGTAACACAAGCGATGCTCTCAGGGAAACGCCCACAATTTATATACAAGGCGCAGCGAGAGGGCTGATAGTCCCGCCTCTATTCATATTTTTTTTTTATTTATTTTTTTTTATTGTTAATTTTATTTCCAAGCTGTATTTCTGGCTGCTGCGTGTTCAGCTCCCATGCCAAAAAACCCAGCTTGTGTGTTCCCCTATTCCTTTGCTATATTTATTTAACTATCAAATTCGTTTATTTAATCCTGTTTCTACTATATATTCCATTACTATTCTTTGATTAATACCTTCTCTTAATCCTTTTCCTAATATCCAATTTATCTTCTTTTTTTTCTTTATTATTACCAATTAAGTTCTTTATCATTTTAATTCTCTCTATATTATATTTCCGACATTTTAATATATTACATGTTCAACGGTTTCTATTACCCCACAAAAAGCACATTTGAGTCGTTCGTTTGACTCGGTTCTCTTTAATGATTCAGTCGAACCGATTCTCTCTGGATCTTTTACGAAGAACAGGCTGCGAGGGAAAAATTGGAGCAACATACGCATTTGACTCTAAAGATTATTTATTTATTTATTTATTAAGATGTAGGGATGAAAAAAAATCAATTAAATCAATCTGATACATATATGCATTTCTATACATTTACATTTAGTCATTGGCAGATGCTTTTATCCAAAGCGACTTAAATGGGGACAATGGAAGCAATCAAAATATTGCTCAACAAAAGAGCAATATACGCAAGTGCTATAACAAGTCTCAGTTAGCTTAACGCAGTACACTTAGCAAGGTTTTTTTTAATTATATAATAAATAAAAGGAAAACAGAAGCTAAGCTGAATACAACGAATATCTTTATTATAACTTACTCAAAAAAACATGGTGATAACAGCCAGACATTAAAACAATGTAACATAAAATGCTACTCGTGGGTATTCTGGCAAGTGGCAACAATTTAAACTCGAAAGAACCGGCTCACTGAAATGACTCGTTCGAACGAACCGACCCCCTCAAATGAATCGGACAGCCCAACAGTAACACAAGCGATGCTCTCAGGGAAACGCCCACAATTTATATACAAGGCGCAGCGAGAGCTTGACGTTATTTGTGTCCAATCAGTTGATAAAGAAATTGCAAACTGGTATTTTGGAAGGATTTAGAAACTCATATTAACAAAACAACTGGGTGTAGAAATGTGTGAATTTGATGTGCTTTTTTAATTTTAACAATGCCCATGTAAAAACTATCATGCAGTTATTGTATTAGGAAAATGCTAGATAAATTAGAATTGGGCTCTTCACAAACCAAATTTCTTACCTTTTATTTTATAAACGACTTTTTATACATAAACATTTTGCACCAATTAAAAAAAAATAATAAAAAGTGCTGAATATATGTACTATATGTCAAATAAATAAATACACATATACGCCATATTGTATATTTTATTGCAATTTCTAAACATGTTTGCTTTTAATGAATGGTAGTTTGCTCCAGTGTGGTTAAAAATGTGTAAAAGAGCACATATTTCATGCAGACTCCTAACTAATTGCCAAATGAAATGATATATAGCCTGCTTGTCCTATATCTTTCTTATAAAAATATATTTAAATATATGGGAATAAAGGAATCCATCAATGAATGTAAATGTGATTAATTATGAATGTCTTATCTACTATTTAGCCTATAGTCTGCTGGGAGGAGCTGCGTCTGATAAAACATATAATAGCTTTACTACTCATCCAAGTGCTCTTTGACTTCTTGCCTACCAAGATTGTAATATTTCAAGATTATTCTCTCAGAGTTATCAGACTCTGAATAAAAAAAAACAGAGATATATACAAAAATGCATGCATTTATTTGATGTGTGCATTAATAAAACGTTACAACTGACGGGAAACAACGAACATCTCTAACAATCATACAATAAAACGCTGGATGATGACAGAATGAGGCATGTGTTCACAAACACTTGAGGATGGAGAAGCTGCAGGTGGTTCCTCCTGGACAGCTGCACAGCTTCCCGAAGCGAGCGCCTTTGCGAACCGCACACTGCTCACCTGCATCACACTAAACACACCATTTCATTGTTTCGTGGTTTTGTCAGACTTTATAGTTTTCATATTACATAGTTATATTAGTGAGTACTTGATACAACTCACTTTGTGGAACACCTTGTGTAAAATTGGGTTATTTTCCATGCTGTACCTACTTTTTCATATATTCCCATCATGGATGGTCTTCATCCCAAAGTGAAATTCTGTCATCATTTACTCACCCTCATGTCGTTCCAAAAGCAAACTATTTTTGTTTATCTTTGGAACAAGATTGAAAATATTCTTAATGTTCACTCATCATTTTTTTGTCCATCCATCCATTGAAAGTCAAGGTAATCATCAACATGTTCAAGCTTTAAAAAGGAAGTAATCCAAGTAAATCGAACGGTTTAATCGGAAGATTTCTATCGCTTTATATCATGAACTGCTTTTAAAATAGGCTTTATAAAACAGATAGTTCCGGTGCTTGATTCTGATTGGCTGAGCCGCGTTCGAAGCGGTTGTAAATTACACTACAAACATACACCTTTGTTTACGTTTGTGTGTTGCTCGGCAACCACTTTGTTGCAACCACAACTGTTTCTTGTTTGGTGGAAGAATACTGTTTTTATTTATATCATTACACTTTATTTGCTCTGTTTTATTTTGTGAAACCTTACTACGTATAAGGAATAACCATTTTATAAAAGCAATAAGCCCCGTGAAGCCGTGGTTTACAGTGAATTTATAACAGCTAAGGGCTGCTATAACGCCCTTAGCTGTTATAAATTCACTGTAAACCACGGCTTATTGGGGCGTATTGCTTTATTTATTCACATATAAATCATCACACATACATATAGAGCTCATCAAATATGGTAAACAGAAACTCAGACTATCGTGTTGAGTAGCTAGACTTTCAATAGATGGTCAAAAATGATAAGAGGATATTACAAAAATCTAAATTTGCGTGCCGAAGATGAATGAAAGACTTATGGGTTTGTCGAGTAAATTATGGGCGAACTACCTCTTTAACATTTGAAATCAGTATGACGCTCACGTTTCTAAAAGTGGAAATCACAGTTTTCTAATACATTAATAAATAGACAATTAAGTCAACATGTAGGTGAATTTAAATTATTTCACAATTTTATTGGATTTTTGCTGCGTATTCACATATTATTTTAATATGACAAACTTATATTTATTATTTTATCTATTTATTAAGCAATTTGTTTGGAAATATAGTATTTAATCCTTTTGTCCTTTCTCTAAACAAAATATTTCAACCAAAACATGATTTTGTTGATAATCATTTATATAGAGTTCAAAATGTACTGCAGAATATGAATGACCTAATGACATTGTTATTTAATGAATTATATTTATGTGAAAATATGTGTAAAATAGACACTTTGAACTGTTACCAAAAGACTTAATTGCTGAACAGACTTACCGAGGGGACCCAACCAAACTTCTTCTCTGCAGTGGGGATCTGTTTGTTTCTCAGTTTTTCAAGAACTTCTTGAAGAGCCTCGATCTGTAAGATATTGTAATTTTCTCAATCACTTTATCTGTTAATGCTGTACTTTTGGAATGATTTGCAGAGTGCCTGAAGAAACCACCTTAACAAAAGTTATCTTACCAGTTCTTTCTCCTCTTGAGCTTTCATGTCATCTTCTGGAGAGCGGATCTCTAGAACATCATCGCAGCTAACTAGTAGCATTAAGACGGAGCAGGTTACGGTTAGAAGAAAGATCCGATCACTGACCATTGTGGCTGGAAACAGGACTTGATTTGAGACAGACGTATATGGTGACCGACTCCTCTCAAGTAACAGAAGAAGGACCATCTCAACCGTTTATAAGCTCTCTGTGCAATGACACAAATCCGTTCTAAATGCATCAACATGAGATGTTGTAGATGTCATGGGTCATGACCCCATAGCACCTCCGAAGGCAATGCAAACGAAACGCTAGCTCCGTCCACCTGAGAACGTCAGCATGATGATTCATACGTCTGACCCATGAACCTCAAACATCAAGCCGCTGATGTACACCTAACCTCATCTTTGACTACAATTACCAACCATTTTTATTTCCGGAGAAGATCTTTTAATTACCGGAACATCTATGACAAGAAATAGCCATTTTAAGGGACTGGGGCCAGTTGCACACAATTCCTTTTGTAAATCTATTTTGGTTTTGAGTGTCATGTGGGTTAGGAGTGAAAATGAAACACGCAGGATGTCACAATGCTGATCACAAAATAACGTAAGCATCTCAGCATTAACAAATAACTAATCATAATTGAACTATTAGATCACCATGACTTTAATACACAGGAGATCTTCTCTGATAGTTCCAAACCTGTTTGAAACTCTTTTCCATATAATGGAATTATGGAAAAGAAATGAAAAAAGAAGAAATGCATCACACCGGTAGGCCTATTACAAAGTGTCATTAATTAACAGATATATATTTTTAAACATAACAAAAAAAATCAGTATTCAAAACTCTCTCATTGCCTTACACCAAATCACAACAGTAAGCTTATAAAATGAGTTATAATTTGAGCTGTCGGGTCGGATTTCGCGGGTTAGTTTGACGTAATTAGTCTTTGCTTTTTCGTCACTTTATGTCACAACAATCTCAGGTCCAACACACTCAGTTGTGTTCATTCTGACAACTTGCAGCCATAACATTACACAATGGATCGTTCAAAAAGGCATCTATCTGAGGAATTATTTGTTGTTAGAACAATGGCCGCAGAGACTTTAAAGTAGGGCTGTGCAATTAATCGCATGCGATTGTCATGCGCATCTCGTCAGTAAAGCCGGTTCTGTGATTAGTAGTAAATCTCCAGCACGTGCTTTCAGATGGAGCGCCATTTACTACACAGAGCCGTAATTCGCTGACAATTAGGCGTTCATTATCGCAGATTGAATCGCCTAACTCTTATCCTCACCTCACGTAATTAACAAAACAATGTCATCCCGTGAGAACCGCGAAAAGTGTGGTCACAATAAGAGGGCAAACGGGTAGCTATTTTGTCAATGTAGCGATTCATGAAGCACACTGTTGGACAAATTCGCGTGACCAACCTGCGTTTTCTTGCTTAATACATGTGGGGAAATCTTTTGCTCTCACGCGAAATTCCTGATTCATATTGAAATTATGTTCTCCGCAGAATTCACTAAAACGGTAAACGTGATCGCTCTTTAACTCGCAGTTTACGTCTCGACCACAAGAGGGCCAAATATGCCATATCATATGTTACAGAGACGTGCAACACAATTCCAATAAACAGCATATTTGGATCTTGGTCTTTATTGTGAAATATGAGACAGTGTACTGTGAATTATTGTAGAATCCACAAATAAATGAATACTAACACTTTATTCAAAATGTCAGAAACACATTATAAGAATGGTAGTTGAATTTCCTTTCATCCTTCTTTCTTTTTTTATTTTAGGTATCCATTTAAACACACACACACTGAGGGGCTCAGCTTATCAGATCCTGGTCGTTGAATGCAGAGTCTGCTGCGGTCGTGTCCAGCTGTGAAGACTCTGTAGTGTTTGGAGGAGCGATGCTGGCAATGACCGGCTTGAACTCTTTCCAGGGTTTGGTAGGACAGTTGAGCGGTGTGCGTTGGGTTGTGCTGATGCTCTCCTTGGATTCCTCTGAAGATTCTTTGACTTTTGTCCTTTCAGGCATGATCCTAAGAGGAGACCAGCCTGGTGGCCGTTTAAATCTTGCGACAGTCTGAAAACACGACGTTGGGCATGAATGGGTTTATTGAAAATCTATCGCAATGCTTTGAAAATGATCTATATCGTTTAATAAAAATAAATGATTGATGGGTTGGCTCACCTTAATAACCACCGTCTCACATTCAACATGCACTTCTGGGCCCTCGTGCCTCCAAGGAGCCACATCCACCGTAGAGTTACACTGCAAAACCTCCTAAACAACAACTTTATGTGAGAGGCTACAAGAACACAAGTACTGTACACATTCCTTAAATCTGATAAATAATTTCAACATTCTATCAAAGAACAACTTATTATTGTTCTATCTCAGACTAAACTAATAAATGAAGAGTTCAGATGCAAAAGCCTCTAAGTGCCGTTTGAAAGTTTCTTATAAAATGAGTATTTTTCTTAGGCTCCTATGTTTATGATCAGTTATTTCACCAAAAGAACCTATTCATTGCCATTCAAGTGAAAATTACTGAACCTACACACAGGAGCCTGATAAAAATGTTGGCACTTATAGGCTTTTGCATCTGAACTCTTCAAATATTCAATTACACTAGCTTTCAAAAAAGAGTGATTTTGGATGGTACCGTTTTTTCCTGCATTGGGTGGCACTCCTTAGTAACCACTTTGAATTCTGCCCTGGTGCAGTTGCTCTTCTCAATCAAAAACTGCAGTTTATACCTGAATCCAGCAACCACCTACACACAGAATAGATCAAAACCAGCACAACATTAACCATGATGATCTTGAGTTCAACCAATTTGACCAATTGCAGCCAACAGCCCAATCTGACAAAAACAGTCCAATGGATTAAATGAGGTGATTTCACATTCATATTTGTGCATTTGGAAGACAACTCTACCTAAAGTCACTTTATATTGCATTCAGGCCATTGGTCTTATCAGTGAACACATTCCCTGGGAATCAAACAGCTGCATGAGCGATAAAGAAATCATTCACCTGTTTTGTTGCAGATGTCAAGTCCTTAAAGATGAAGAAATGCTTGTGATTGACCATGCCGTTGGCTTTCGTCAAAGAATGAATGAGTGGTTCTCTCAGTTCTTCATGATATAAATCGATCTTTTCAGGGCAGCCCAGACACGGAGCGACTTTAGAGGAAGCAGCTGGTTCAGCTGTCGAGAAAGTTTAGGAAAGAGAGTGAGTAAAATCTGATATATGCTTTAATAGATGCCATATTTCAGCTTTCAACATTTTAAAAATATTGTTTAATCGACAAATTGCAATACTACACAAAATTCAAAAGGGAGATCCAACCAATCAGAGTAGTCAGTGTTGGAAATGGAAATCGCACATTTAAAGGGATAGTTCAGCCAAAAATGAAAATTTCTGTCATTAATTACTCACCCTCATGTCGTTCCAAACCCATAAGACCTCCATTCATCTTCGGAACACAAATTAAGATATTTTTGATGAAATCCGAGAGCTCTCTGACCCTCCCATAGACAGCAATGTAATTACCACGATCAACGCACAGAAACGTAGCAAGGAGATCGGTAAAATAGTCCATGTGACATCAGGGGTTCAACCGTAATTTTACGAAACAAGCACAATAATAACATAATTTATTCAACAATTCTTCTCCCAGAGTTACCATCTTCCGCCATTTTGGAGAGTACCCCAGAACGTAATCAACGTAATCAGCGTTGTTTATGTTCAGCATGCGCGCGCTTTATCCTGAACGTAAACAACGCTGATTACGTTGAAAAAATTCTCATAGCTTGGTAAAATCACGGTTGAACCCCTGATGTCACATGGACTATTTTAGTGTTGTCCTTGCTACGTTTCTGTGTGTTGATCGTGGTAATATCCTTGCTGTCTATGGGAGGGTCAGAAAGCTCTCAGATTTCATCAAAAATATCTTAATTTGTGCTCCGAAGATGAACGAAGGTCTTATGGGTTTGAAACGACATGAGGGTGAGTAATTAATGACAGAATTTTCATTTTTGGGTGAACTACCCTTTAAAATACTGATATAAAGTTCTTGTAAATGTTTGAATGTTTTATGCAAAAACTATACATAAAAAGTATAATAATATAGCATTTTCTATCCAATTTGATTGGCAATGCTTTATGGGAGGAGTGCAGTCCCGTATCTTATATGTAAAAAAAGTGAGTCATTTTATTTGTATAACGCTTTTCACAATACACATTGTTTTAAAGCAGCTTTACAGAAAATCAAGTTTACAGTATTGTTACAATTCGCGACGATACAAGCAATCAGGCAGTTGAGATTTGCTATATGGTCCATAAGCTTAACATGAGTGTATAGTGTATTGTATCCAGGTGAGCTTGGACTTGTAGTAGTTGTATAATTCATTATTAATTATTAATCTGTTCATTAATTCTTGCTATTAATTCATTATGTGGTGCTGTTGAGAATTATGAATTGTCTGATATGACTGCAGTCGTCATCTTATGTGAACATACATGATTTTAATCAATTTGTCACAAAAGCCCTACAAAGGCTAAACACAGTAATGACGCCAATACTGGAACTGAAAAAATATATATAGGGTTTTAAAGTTTTCCATTTTAATCTGAGGGAATCTGAATCTTGTTTGTCACTGGACAATTTATTTTGTAGTTACTATAGTTTGCATTTCTAGGGCAGAAAAGTGCTATAAAACCTTTAATACGGAAAAATGACTGTGTGCACCTATAACTGTAAAGTAAGAAAGGGATTAAATTGCAGTTATTACAGTCATAACACAACATGCGACATACCTGTACAGTCATGTAACAGTAACTCTTGACCTGCTTCTTCAAACTGGACTTTCGCGTGACAGATTATGAGTGCCTGAGGAACCACAAAATATACATGTACAGTACTATAATCATGGCCAAAGCCTGCTGTTAGGCACTAATTACCAGGGCTGGGGGTAGTAATGCATTACAAGTAACGCAAATTATGTAATCAGATTACTTTTTCAAGAAGAGGCATTTTCTTCAGAAGGGCCTTTACAGTTGACAAAAAGGTAACTTTTGGGTTTTGTGTTATTAAAAAAACAAAACAAAAAGAAAACAAATAAGCAAGCCCCGCTCATGTGATAAAAAGTAACGCAAAAGTTACGTAATGCACTACTTTCCATAAAAAGTAACTGAGCAACACAATTAGTTACTTTTTATGGAGTAACGCATTACTTTTAAAAGTATTTGATTGTGTTTGGAAACATATTTGGATAATTTACGCTAATCTTTATAACTGATATAATTGATTGTTGCACCAGGTTAGTATTGTTTCTAAATGTTTGGCAATAATGAATGTAGATCATCATGTAGATGACTTCATAAGATCTTACCTTATCCGCTTGTTGCAGGTAGTCACATTCATGCCAAACCTTGTCTCCTCCCGCAGGACAATCTGTCTCTCTGCTTGTGAACCGTACAAACACGACTTCCACCGATTCATTCTGGGCCTGTGAAAATTACTGTATTATGCTACACTCTTAACAATGAAGGTTCTTTATTGGCATTGAAGGTTCCATGAAGAACTTTTAACATCAATGGAACCACTATAGGTTCTTACTACACTCTTAAAAATAAAGGTGCTTTATTGGCATCAATGGTTCTATAAGAAACCTTAAACATCCATGGAACGTTTCAAATGCAGAAAAGGTTCTTTATAGTCACAAAAAGGTTCTTTAGATTTCTAAAATGTTCTTCAAAATGGTTCTTTTAGGAACTGTTCACTGAAAGGTTCTTTGGGGAACCAAAAATGGTTCTTCTATGGCATCACTGCAAAAACACCCTTTTGGAAGAGTGTAGTGGAAAAAATGGCTCTTCTATTGCATTGTTACACTCTTAAAAATAAAGGTTTCAAAAGGGGGGTTTCGCAGTGATGCCACAGAAAAACCAATTTTGGTTCCCCAAAGAACCTTTCAGTGAACAGTTCCTAAAAGAACCATTTTGAAGAACATTTTAGAAATCTAAATAACCTTTTTTTGACTATAAAGAACCTTTTCTGCATTTGAAAGGTTCCATGGATGTTTAAGGCTCCTTATAGAACCATTGATGCCAATAAAGAACCTTTATTTTTAAGAGTGTAGTAAGAACCTTTAGTGGTTGCATGGATGTTCAAGGCTCATCATGGAACCTTCAATGCCAATTAAGAACCTTTATTTTTAAGAGTGCAGGACAACCTAGAGTTGCTTAGAGCTGAAGTATTGTATAACGCAAAGACCAAAACTACATCTTACCTTTGTAGCCTCCAGGATTTCATAGAGAGCCAGTTGACCACCTTCAGTTAATATCTTATTACGCGTGGAAAGAGTTAAATTCACAACATTCTCCACACGTTTATCATCACACGGAATTTTTATGTTAGTTTGTCCACGTCCTCCAGAAGCATAAAGCCAAGCTAGCGCAAAAACCATCAAGATCTTGTCCCGCATCATTGTGCTCTTCTGAAAACCCAACTGTGTTGGAGTGAGAGAGTTCAGAAGTGTCCACGCTGGACTCTTAACTGCCTCTGTAATGATTTACTCACTGTTAGAAAGCTCAGTTCTGTGTCTGTATCTCCAGCTGTCCAAATATGGTGCCGTGGTATTCAGCAGATGCAATGTTTACTCTTCTGAGATGCTCTCCACAACACGCACACTTCTCTGAATCACCGCTCCAAACCAATGATAAGAGACCTTCACTGAGACCTTTACATGATGGTGCACAAATTTACATCAGATCACAGTTTTAACATTTTATTTTGGTGGACAGTCAGTTCCAAAAGATCAGTCCAGAGCGTTCCATGTGTTCTGGACTCAACACCAGAAAGTGTTTGCAAGTCCAGTTTGTCTACAAATAGATTATTGATTGCAGTATTTATTGTTTTTTGGATTTATTTGACTGTTTTATCTCAAGTTTTCATGTTATTGTAAGTTACACAAAGTATTTTTTAGAGAAAAGTCCAGTGCTTCATAACAGAGACACACAAGCAGCGTTAGAATGCAAAGTTGCGTTAAGTAAATTGACAAAAGCAGCATTGTGTATTTAAGGCCATACTTTGTCCCCTCTACCTTTGACCTGTGCTGTGTATTTCCCTCTCATGGAATTAAAGACATGATCTCGCACCAAACTGAGTCTCTACAGAGTTACTTCAACATACTGAAGAGAATTTACTAATAAAAACATAATACATAAAAAAAAAATTATGTGTAATTTTAATAGAACAATAATGTAAAATGCAGTAAAAACATAAATGTTTTAATTAACAGTTTTTTTTATAAAATAATAAACTATATTAATTAACGTTACCTTAGCATATATATTAAATGTTCATATTATATTTAACAAGATAATAATTACATGAAACATTAACAGGGTGTTCTCAGAAATGTATGTGTGATGCATCATATTGAATTATATTTTAATAGCTATATTTCACTTTTTTTTTTTTTTAGTTATGAGCTTTGAAGAGTTTTATATTTAATACATTATAAATTAATTATCATTAATACGGAAACATAACTGACATAATGTTGTCACTGTAGTTGTCTCTGTACATTTAACCAATGTTGGGAGGTATTACTTTTGAATTTACAAGAAAATATCTGAGTTACTTTTTCAAATATGTAATGCAAGTTACTTTGTTTTCCCATTGATTCACTGACAGCACGCCTGTCCTTCAGCCTGGTACTTATTAATATCACTTTTGGTGTAAAAGGGTCTTTACAGTTACAAAAATTATATGCTTTGTTGTTTTTCTATGTTTTTTTTTTTTTAAACAAATAAGCAAGCCCAGCCCAGGTGACAAAATGTAATGCAAAAGTAACGTAAAGCATTACTTTCCATAAAAAGTAACTAAGTAACACAATTAGTTACTTTTTTCTTATGGAGTAATGCAATATTGTAATGCATTACTTTTAAAAGTAACTTTCCCCAACACTGCATTTAACATTTTTGAAGTGTTGGTAATTTGTCCAATGCTTTTGTTTTGCTCATTTTGCTACATGTATGTCACTCAAAATGAGAAATAGCAAGCAAAATATTAAAAAATATTATTTATTACTATTAAGCAAAATATTAAAAATTACTTAAAAATGAAGCCATCAGGTTGTCGTTAAAGATCTTTTAAGAGGAATGCTCATCGTTTGAGGTGAACAGTTGTCCATTTAGACAACATTGCATTTTTTGGCATCAAAATGACTAGTTTCTAGTTACAGTCCAGTTTAGTCACGTCTAGTTTTGCCTGATTGTCTGTTTCCTGATTACCTGCCTGTCTTGGATTTCTCTCTCGTCTTGCCGTCTGGATTCTGTTCGCACCTCGCCTGGATTTATTATCTGTCTGTGGATTACTCTTTTGCTTCATCCTTTGGATTATGTTTGCCATCTATCAACCTACACCTGTTTATCTGAGTACTCTTCTGTCTTGCCCTCTGAATACCTGTTTGCCATTGTCCGACCCTTGCCTGTTTTGACCATGTTTCAGAATAAAGCTTTGCATATGAATCTGCTCGCCTCTCGTCTCATCGGCTCCGTTACAATGACTACCTGCTTTTTTTCTTCTTCTTTTAATCTACAAAGTCTTTTTTTTTTTACTTTTAAGCACCACAAAAAAGTATAACTTAATTTAGAAACTGAAACATGTTTGTCAAGTCATTTTTTAAAATTAAAATTGCATTCTTTCATATATGTAATGATTATTGGTAAGATAATTTTCAAATTAATATATAACAACATGGATTGCACTTATCTTTTAATATATAAATAAACAAGAAACTTGAAGACACACAGACACACACTGACACACACTCAAGAGTTCCACAACCAACCAAAGTGGAAAGGGAAGTAAAAAAGTTAACCGAGCAGACATGTCTGAGTGATCTGCATCGTTCACACAATACAAAAAGCAAAAAGTTACACACTTACACAAAACAGTTTTATTCCATTGTGTCCTGAAGTGTTGTTTTTAATAAAAGCTCATATATTTTCAGTTTTGTTTTCAAAACAGATACATATGGTTGAGCAGTGAACAAAGTTGCTGTTAGTTGCGATGAATGTGGAAGATTTGAAAATTTGCTCACATGCTGAAGCTCCACGAAAATGGAATTTATTCAAGTTATTGGTAATTCAAGTTGCTGTGTCATTGAACCCTTTGGGGCACTGAATGCATTTTTTCTCCAACGAAAACGTATGGCAAATATTAGTGACAACTGACCTGTTGGTGGCACAAAATTTTGAGTAAATTTCTACTTTTTAATCAAAGAGATGTCTAGATTGCTTAGAAATTCAATTTAAAACTAAAACTCTTGAACTGGAATATACTGTATGTTTTACACCAATATAGAGTTTTTACTCATATCATTACTTGGTCTACTAATCGTGGGCTTGGCTAAAGAAGCTTCCTGATGTCAGACAATTGCTGACAGCATCAAAGCATAAGTGTCCTCCTCCACAACCACATGTGCATTATTTTACCGTGGCTTCAGAGCTGATACCATAAGAGCAACTGCCCTGAAACACAAGAGCCACTTTCTCAAAATGACTCACGCAAGTTACTACACCGCTTTGCTTCTTCTGCTGTCTTCCATGCATTGGCTAGGTGAGTTGATTCGCCTATCATTTGAAGTCAAATAGTGATTTTAATGGTACAAAACTTTGCATATATTCTTATAAATTATGATTTATAATGAGAAAAATTGATTTATAAATAGATTTATAAGTATAAAGTTCTAGTAAGTTCTAGCCTAATTTCTGAGAACCCAGAACAAAGCAACACTGAGTCAGTTTAACAGCATCAATGATTGGTCCTGGTAGCTCTGTGCTGGTTAACACTTCACAAAATGGTGTTAAAGCCCCCCGTTGTGTTGTGCTTACAGGAAGCTCTCTAGCCTCAAACCCTCTTCAACTTTCAGCTACAGCGGACGAAGTTCCTGCCATCATCAACAGTGATCCTGCCATTACGAATCTGTCCCAGAGACCCGTTCTCCAGCCCAAAGAAAGCATCCCGCCTGAGTTTCTGTACACCTTGAGGAGCCCTCAGGGCAAAGTGTGTGTGCGGGCCAGTTTGGGAGTGGAGTACATGGTGCGAGAGAACAAAGTAAGCTTGATATTTTCTCAGCATTTTTATTCAGCTCCTCAGCATATTCTAGAAAGGGGTGAGAACTCACTTGGTTTACCACCACCATTGTCAACGGCTCAGAAAAAAACGTGCAGAACTTGAATGGGCACAACAGTTTTACACTGGGTCAGCATCCTTAAGAGTACATCTTTCTAATATTTTACATTGTTTGATGGTGGAATGGAATAGCCCATAATTAAGACAAACTGTAAAGTGAAAAACCTTATTGTAATCCCTTGTAAGAAATAAGTACTCTTAATTGTATTGAATGTGCACTTGTAGTGAACCTCAAATCTTAAGTTTATTTTAAAAACACTACTTGCAAATAATGTAATATTAATGGAATAAAAAGCCACTTGAGTGTAATTTAAGTACGTTGTTTCATAACACTCTTACGTATACTTTTAACAAGTGCACTAATGTCAAATTAAAGCTTTTACTTAAAAATGCATTTTGAATGCTATAAAAAGTACACTTATTTTTGATGCGTCAACTAACATACTAAAATACATGTAAAGTCATTTTACCTGTAGCGTCTTAATCAATATTACATTTAAAGTTAATATATGTGCATATTTAAATACATGACATGCAAGTTTCAATAGAAATGACAAAAGTATGTTACTTAAAATGTACTTAAGTCCTAATTAAGTGGATAAGACAAAATACTTAAATGTTCAGCTAAATTAATATAATATAAATGTAAACTATAATACATTTTCATTTAATTGTAATTAATATGCAGTTAAACATCTGAAAACATTACATTAAGTTTGCACTTAAGTATATTCTTTAAAAGTATGTTATTTCTATAATATTAAACAACATTTCACTTTTTTTGCCAGTATCTTTTTCACTGTGAAAAAATTGCACATGCATTGAGTCCACTCAAAGAGTACAATGTCATGTCTACTGGGATGTAAAAAACAATTTTGTACATTTTATTTTTTCATTTTCATTATTATTATTATTGTTGTTTTTTTCTGCTATGCCTACAATTTCTGTGCAGCCACACCAAATTTGAGTGTCTTGATCTTTAGCTCATGATGTTTTTTTTTTATATTGTTAATTTTACAGGATTTTCATACTAACATGATGCTGATGCAGTAATCACACTGTATTCCACACTTGTATTGCAGAAGAAGTATTATTTCAACGTGAATCCCAGCTTTACACAAGTCAGGGGAGAATGTGGGAGCCAAAAGTCTGTTTTCTCACTGGAGTTTGATGGTGGACATCTGGAGTTCACTTTCATCAAGGTACCTACAGTAGCTTTTATCTCTATGACAAGTTTTCTCTTTGAGGTTAAACGTGCAAAACAAGCAGCCTTAATCAACATGCAATGCAATATTTCCCCACACTTGCAGGAAGGTGATCTCTCCTATGTGAATACTGTCAGAGGTCTTCTGAGACCTGTTCCCCCTTGTAAAAATTGCCAGAGTAAGTATAAATTACACTACAACCTTTACAAAAAACATTATCACGCACTTATTATCACGATTATTCTTATCATAAAAATATATGTTAATATTTTATCTGGGGTTTGAGAGTTAACAAGTGGCAAAAATCTGAATTTCGCTTACTATACATGTCGAGAAGAAACTCCACACATCTTGATTAAGACGCAAACATTTCCATCAAATTCTTTCATCTTGTAAAAACACAACCAATTTTTATCCTTGTTTTACACTGTTTTCTGTCTCTGTGTGCAGTATTTTGGCAAGTTTTTGTTCCATCTATTTAGTTTCATTTTCTACTGTGAAACAACGGCCAGCGTTGCCACCTTGTGGAACAAATGATTAGTGCAAAACCAAGTCATTGCGCATGTGCGATCTACTTTAGGGGTGTAAATCATTGATAGTTTCAAAATTTGATTAAATTACGATTATGATGTCAACGATTTGATTCGATACCATGATGCATCATGATCAGGGGCGGCGCTAGGGGTGGGCTAAGCGGGCTGAAGCCCCGAATGTTTATATATATATATATATATGTTCCTGTGGCTCAGTGGTAGAGCATTGCGTTAGCAGCGCAAAAGGTCGTGGGTTTGATTCCCAGGGAACACACATACTGGTAAAAAAAAATATAGCCTGAATACACTGTAAGTCACTTTGGATAAAAGTGTCTGCTAAATGCATAAATCAAATCATTAAATTGTATATATATATATTAGTAAGCATATCCCATGTATTTTGACACATGATAAATGGATGTCTCTGGGCTAAGCCCCAGATATCTACTCACCCTAGAACCGCCCCTGATCATGATTATGTAAAATGTATTTTGTGCATTTTTATTAAATTGTATAAGCAGGCTACTTTTTAAAATAATTACAAATTAATAATAAATCAAAACAATTGTTAAGAACCTAACCAAATAAGTATAGCTTCAAAACATACAAGCAAATATAAAGTAATAAAGGGGGGAATAAAAGACAATTACAAGTGATAAACAAAAAGTTATTTCAGTATCTGAGAGTCCTTTAAGTATCCAAAAGTTTACAGACAATCAAATTTATGGGTTTTTCTTTTTTCCTCAGCATTATTGCTGTTTGATTTACTGATGAGATCATAGACAGTGGCAGCTTTAATAGGCTGCATTCACACTAATGCACAGATCTATTTTGACATATCAGACGTTTTGTCCTGACTGTATACAAACACTGACTGTGTTTACATCAATTTCGTATCATAAAAAGTATTCGGAGAGGCAAGTGCATTTAACCGCAGCCGCGATCTAGGACAACAAACACTAAGCGCACGTGAAATCAATGCGCATGCAACGGTTAATTTCAACACCCCTAATCTATGTCTACAAAGTTACAAAAATATGTTATAAAAATCGTCCAGTGCTCAAATAGTACACACATACTATTCTGGTGATGAAATTTGCATCCCATGCACTGTACGCGTACCCTCGCTTACACGTAAAAACTGAAGGCCTTTACTGAAAACTGAAGGCCTTTAGTCCCAAACCGGCTAAACACTCTGGATCAGCCTGCTACAGTAGTCACGCCCCAGTCTCTCGCTATTGGTTAAGCTAAAAAGAGTGCTTGTGGTGTTCGGCCAATCACAATGCACTGGGTCAGCTGGCCAATCAGAGCAGACTGCGCTTGTTGGAAGGAGGGACTTTGTAGAAAATGAAGCGTTTGAGAGAGGCGGGGCATAGAGGACCTACAATAATGTACAGTATTTGAAAAATAATGTGTTTTTTGAACATTAAAGCATGTCAACATATTCTGTTACACCAAATACACAAAATAATGATCTTTAAAAAAGCATCATATGACCCCTTTAAGAATACTGTATGCCAGTAGTTAGCGATGTCACTTTGTAACAAAACATGCACATGTGCTCAATGTTACCGTTTTCACAAATTCACACTTTACAGTTTACACAGAGAACATAATGGTATCATTTACTATGGAAGGCAGATGGGGCCAAAAGCCTTTAAATGGAACGGGTGAAATTTGACCTGTCAAAACAAACTGTTTGTGCGTGTTAATGTGACAACATGCACAGAAGCCGATAAAATTGCTGTATTTGAGACATAGGATGTCATAATGGTACACTGGTATACATGTATGCAAACATCAGACATTACACTGTAAAAAATGTTGGATTGTTTCAACCCAACTTTGGGTCAAATATGAACTAACCCAGCTGTTGGGTAAATTTTTTACATTAAATGTTTAACCCAAAAGTTGGGTTAGTCCATATTTGACCCAACGTTGGATTGAAACAACCCAGCATTTTTTACAGTGTATATTTGTTCATAAGGATAGTGCATTGGTACATTGTGTGTGATGTCAGACTTAAATTAGATTAATTAATTTACTATAGCACAGTAGATATCAGAAAAACAATGCTGCAATAAACTAAAGAAATTATTAATATGTGGGTAAATCTAGAAGTCAGTCTCCTTTAAAAGAGTATTACACATTCGAACATGGCCAGAATGTGTGCAAATTGAAAGACAAGTTCAAATATGTTGTCTTAACACCGTAAAACAGTACGTTTTTACATGTGCTAAAGAAACGCAGCAAACTGATGCCTTAACACAGCCAGAATGTGCGCGTCTACACATACAAAAGAAACACATTCAAAATTGCAGCATTTATGTGGACAAACAATGCGTGTTGTCACGGTCAAATTTCTCACCTACTGTTTAAAGAGTTTTGGCACCGTCAGCCTTCCATAGTTTTCAAAAGTTAGCATTTTCAGGCCCTCAGAACTGTGTGGTCATTTAAATAAATAGCCAAAATGCATAAACAAAACGCATGAAGAGTTTACACATTTTTTTGGCATGTAAATGGTGCCTGGGAGGCTCACTGTTTACACTTTTGGGGGAGATAAACCCGCGAATGGCATACTTTACTGTATAGTAGACAATGAACAATAAATTGGGTTAAGAGAATGTATTTTAACATAAAAAAATATCTCGAACTAAGTACATTTTATACATTTAATCCACAGCTAAGACCTACGTAGGAGTTGTAAATCACGAAAAGCTATTCAAAGCAAAAAATGGCCTAAGCTTCCAATGCAAGTCTCAGACAACTCTAATACTGGCAAGCTACTTCAGAGTCAAACTGGTGCCACTCCAGATTCAAGCCTTTGATCTGGCTAATGAAGCGTTTGGAAAAGGTACATACATTTCACATCGTAGACCGTAGAGATGCTATTTTTATATACTACATATATCAATTTAAACACATCTATATTCTGTTAACCTATTTACGCAAGAATAACAGGATTTCTCACGTCTTGATTTCAGAGGTTGAGTGCTGGGATGATTACAACAAGCGCATGATCCCCATTATTCTTGGTGCCGTAGCTGCAGCCGTTTGCCTCATTGCCATTCTGACGTATGTGCTCGTCAGAGAACGCCGTAACCAAGGCTACGAACAACTCTGAGACTCTAGATGTGTAATGTGAAGATGAATCACAAGATTTTATTATGTGTTACATTGTGTGGATATTGCTTTAAATTATCTCAGTAAACAATTAAAATGCGATTGACATGAAATACTGTCAGAAATTTGCTTTTTATAGACTATGGTCATTCTGATGTCTGAAGGTTTTGGTCCATGACAAGGTATGTGTACATTCAAGGGAATGATTACGATAAGTGTAGGTTTTACATGTGAATCTCAAACACTTCTTATGAAACGCCATGGGGAAAAAAATGCAGATTTTTGTAATAAGAAAATGGTTTTGACCAAAGTAGTGTTAGACTGCAAAGACTAACACTAAGTGCCAATGTTACATCATGATTATGAAGCTCCAACAACTGAAGGACGAACTGAGTGAATTACAAAATGATAGGAGAATGAATGTTTAGACTATTATTATTTAAAACAAGCCTTGTTGAAAGTAAATTAAGCCTATAATTAGAGAACTGACGATTGAGGGGAATCAGAGGTTAATTCTAACGTTGTCCAAAAAATAAAAAGACTTCATATAGTGTGACAACATGCCCCACTACTTTGTATTTGGCGTTTTCATGGGTAAGACTTTTAAAAGCTTGTGTCTGAAGAAAAGAAAAAAAAAAAACAATAAAACATTTTTTAACTCAATTTAACCCGAGAAATGTTCCCCATTATTTTTTTTAACAAAAAAGTACATAATTACCCGGATTACATGCTTTCTGTGAGATTCTGAAGTGCACATCCAACACTGTCATGAGAAGAACAACATTCATATTACTAATTATTATACTATATAAAATATACTTGTAATGCTAAATAATTACTTATTTAAAAGAAGTACTTACTCAGAGAGGATGCGATTTAGAACGGAACCTTATTATTTCTGAGGGGACGGATTTCGCGGGAAACTGCATACACACGTCATTGGCCCGTGAGTGTCACGTTATATTCATAAACAGAGAAAAGTAGCTCCCCTGTGAAGCAAGAGGTAAGCTGTTTTATTTTTAATCGCTACAGGGTCAAAAGTTATATAGTATAACTGAAGTGAAGGCGCTGGCATATTTATGATCTTACTGTACTTCATATCCCACAATCCTTACACACATACGTCAGTCCCCGCCTCCAAGCTCCCATTTCTGATTGGCTGCTGTAAGTACGGTAAGTGGACGAGGACAAACCTAAATGCGTTTGCTTTTCCAGCGGCTACACGTAGCATCACTGATATTATCGTTTTCATGACATTTTACTCGGAATAATTCAACTGAGTATAAATATTTGGAAGTCTTCTATCGAGTTTATGAGAATGAAGCTGTGAAACCCATGAAGTATATGAAATTAGCGCGCTGTTTTGGAGCAGAGTCGTATTAGTTGCACTTACATATGCTAACAACAACACAGTGATCATGGCTGCGGTGTTTCTGAAAACTCGAATCAACAGAGCTATAAACAAACACCTGCTGTAAGTTACACACTACTTTATTATCAAATATAAAGAAACAATATAGCGTTCATCACATATGGGGTTGTAAATCAGAACAGTTTGATATCACTGATATCAGTCGAGCTGTCCGAAATGACATTCAAACTTTGCTTGAAATATCATATTTCTCTTTTAAACGAATGCCTTTCGAGATACGAATTTCATTGCAAGGGTATCTTTGTGAATGCTGATGTGAAGTCATATTTTAGGGAAGAAAATGCTGTTATTGTTAATGAATGTATATTTGGTGCAAGGTGTGCATAATTAAGTTATCTGTATATGTGTGCACAGTTTTGCATGAACACTTTGTTGTTTAGCATCTTGTAGTTATTAATATGCATTGTGGTTTTACATGAAACGAAGAGGTCACCTCTGCAGAGGAATTTGCCCTTGACTCCATTCAGACTATTTAGTAAACACATGAAGTAAGATCTCATGCTCTCTTGTCTGCAGGACACCGGTCTGGACCACAGGATCCACCAGACATGCATCTGTGGGTAAGAGCTGTCGTTACCTAATGCTGGTTATTATTATAACTCATAATGCCACTGATAGGTGTTGTTTCTCTATGTACAGGCCGGATTGAGAAAGTCCTCATTGCTAACAGAGGAGAGATAGCATGCCGGGTGATGCAGACGGCTAAGAAGATGGGCGTCCACTCGGTTGCGGTGTACAGCGACGCAGACAGACATTCCATGCATGTGGCCATGGTGAGAGAAAACTGTCACAGATACATGCATTCACATATTCTGATCATAGGCAGATAATATAGTGATATAACTGGGTCTGTAATGCCAGGCGGACGAGGCGTATCATATCGGGCCAGCAGCATCTCAGCAGAGTTACCTGTGCATGGACAAGATCCTGGATGTCGCCAAGAAATCCTCTGCACAGGTGTGCTAATGTTAAGATGGTTTTTTTTTTATAGCTGAATAGGGAGTCTGACTTTTTCTTGATTAAATCTGGTTTGGTCAGGCGGTCCATCCTGGATATGGATTCCTGTCGGAAAATACAGAGTTTGCTGAACTGTGCAAACAAGAAGGCATCATCTTCATCGGCCCGCCGTCATCAGCCATTCGGGACATGGGAATCAAAAGGTACATTACATAAAAAACACAAATAGTTGTTTGACTGTAGCAGCTGTGCAACAATACCATAAAAAAGCCCTGGTAACTAAAAAAAGTGAGCTTAATTGTATTTAATATTAGTGCTGTCAAACGATTAATCGCATCCAAAATAAACGTTTTTGTTTGCATAATATATGTGTGTGTGCTGTGTATATTTATTATGTATAAAATATAAATACACACACATGAAAGATATGTTATGTTTATATATTAAATGTATTTATAAATATGTGTCTTTATATATACATAATAAATATACACAGTACACACACATATATATTATGCAAACAAAAACTTTTATTTTGGATGCGATTAATCGTTTGAATGTACTTCAGATCTTAAAAGAATATTTAGAAAATACTGTATGTACACAAATAAATAACAAAATAAAGGCCATTTAAGTGTACTTAAAGAGAGACCGTTAAGGTTAACTTTTAAAAAGTGCCCTTCGTAATATCAAATTAAGATTTACTTGAAAGTACATTTTAAATAATTATTGTTTTAATAATCTTTTGTCGTGCTTTAAAGACGTACGCTTATTTTGAGGTGTTGACTAACATGCTAAAGCACATCCCTTATGAAAATTAGCCATAGTTTTACTACAAAAAAATAAAAACGATGGTTACTACACTTTTACTATAATAAAACCATGGTTAATTTTCACAAGGGATGTAAAAATATATATATATTTAATGGATTAAAATACAAGTTACGTAATTTGATATTGAATTTAAAGTTTATATTTAATTGCAACTTCATTTTTACAAAGTATATTTAAGTACATGGCATAAGTTTCAATAGAAATTACATTTATGGTAAACTAAAAAATATTGTAATATTTATCAGTAAAGTCAGCAGTACACTTTATTTAAAAAACAACAGAATTATGAAATTACATAAAATATAGTTGCATTGAACTAATTGCATTTCATATTAATTAACTATAATACATTTTCATTAAATTGCACATTTTCCTAAAACATTACATTCAGTATATTCGTTTAAAGTATATTATTTCCATAAAAGTATAATTCTTATCTAGCAATGCCTGAATATCTGTATAGTGTAGTCTTTAACTTTCAGGCAAAGCTTTGTCTAGCCAACATTTAACTAAACTTTCCTTTCTAGTTTCTAAGTTTCAGTCGGTCTTTGTTTTTGTTTCAGCACATCTAAACACATTATGTCAGCTGCTGGCGTGCCCATCATTGAGGGTTACCATGGAGAGGACCAATCAGATGGCAAACTTCAAAGCGAGGCCGCAAGGATCGGTTACCCTGTGATGATCAAAGCAGTTCGTGGCGGCGGCGGAAAGGTAGGTTGTGTTTGCACTGAACCGTTCTGTAATAATACGCATACTTGAAATCACAACGCTTTATTTGCACCGCCTCGCGCAGGGAATGCGAATCGCACACTCTGAAGCAGAGTTTCACGAGCAGCTGGAATCGGCTCGCAGAGAAGCCCGCAAGTCATTCAACGACGACGTGATGCTGATCGAGAAGTTTGTTGAGAACCCCAGGTCTGTTTGGTTGATCAGGCTCAGTACATGCGATATATGTGACCACAAAACCAGTCATAAGGGTCCATTTTTTTTCAAATTGAGATTTATACATCATCTGAAAGCTGATTAATAAATAATCTTTCCATTGATGTATGGTTTGTTAGGATAGGACAATATTTGGCCGAGATACAACTATTTGAAAATCTGGAATCTGAGGCTGCAAAAAAAATCAAAACATTGAGAAAATCTCCTTTAAAGTTGTCCAAATGAAGTTCTTAGCAATGCGTATTACTAATAAAAAATGAAGTTTTGATATATTTACGGTAAGAAATTTACTAAATATCTTCATGGAACATGATCTTTACTTAATATCCTAATGATTTTTGGCATAAAAGAAAACTCGATCATTTTGACCCATACAATGTATTTTTGGCTATTGCTACAAATATACCCGTGGTTTTGTGCTCCAGGGTCACATTTCTGATGTAATACATGAGTGTTTGTTGTTGCATTAGACACGTTGAGGTGCAGGTGTTTGGTGACCAGTTCGGCGATGCGGTGTATCTGTTCGAGAGAGACTGTAGTGTACAGAGACGACACCAGAAGATCATCGAGGAGGCTCCAGGGGTATAAATATGACATTCTGCATCTTCTGCATTATGGTGAAGTCTGTGATGTATGCTTGTGTTAATGAAACCCACCTTGGGTGCGTTTCCCTAAAGCAACTATGGTCACAAGTTCCGTTGTTACCAATAGATTTCACATGTTTACACAAATATTTATATATCAAGTTCTTGAATTAATTTCCATCACACATTTATGAATGATGTTACATGTATTTATGGATCGTTGAATCTGCATTTGCAAATCGTCACATGTGCGTGGACTGCTTTGAATTTGTGTGTGGTATTTTTGAGACCTTCCTGGCAGGTTAAGATTCATAAATATCTTTTTTTGGAGGATGTTCCGTTCAGCCAATCGCGGTGAGCTTTTAATCCACCAATCAAAACACTCTTTACTGAACAGACTCAAGAAGCTCAACGCTGCGCTTGTACTGTGCATTGTTTCTATGATCGGGTCCTTGATGTAAAGACATTTTAATGGGTACTCTTTTTTTTAGCACCTGATTACAATTTCTACAAAATCACATTATGATTTATATCTTTTGCACAAAATACAGCTACCCGGTTAGCCTGCTGTCTTATACACCAAAGTTGCACATACCCTGTTTATTCAGATCAATCTGTAATGTTATCAAATAAGTGTTAAATGTCCAGATATTTCATTTAATAACAACAATTATGTAATGTGTTCTGTTGTTGTTATTAGTAGTAGTAGGCTATCAGATTCGCAATGACTTTTGATCAGGCATTAAAAACAGCTATCACCACCGAAGGGAGATTTCGAACACACACAGCGGAGAGATTTCAGCATGGAGGATGAAAACCACACTCAACGAGTGAGTAAAGTCGTTTTTTTATCTGATGGCATTTTCTTATGATTAAAGGTTGTTTTAGTTAATTAAGTGTGCAGTGTTACAAAGTTGTTAGTCCACGCCAGCTTTCTTATATTATAACTGGTGTTTGTAGGAACACTTTAGTAATCACAGGATGAATGGGCGATAAACAATCAGTAAAACAACGATTTCGATGCTAAACTATTGCATAATTTTAAATACGATTTGTAGTCAGTGGGTTCTAAAGTTACCATTGCGACCAGCTATAATCATAAGAAAATGCCATCAGATAAAAAACGACTTTACTCACTCGTTGAGTGTGGTTTTCATCCCCCATGCTATATCTCTTCGCTTGTGTGTGTTGTTCGAAATCTCCGAACACCGCAGCGTTGAGCTTCTTGAGTCTGTTCAGTAAGGAGTGTTTTGATTGGTGGATTAAAAGCTCACCGTGATTGGCTGAACGGAACATCCTCCAAAAAAAATATATTTATGATTCTTAACCTGCCAGGAAGGTCTCAAAAATACCACACACAAATTCAAAGCAGTCCACGCACATGTGACGATTTGCAAATGCAGATTCAACGATCCATAAATACATGTAACATCATTCATAAATGTGGATTGTTAATTAATTCAAGAACTTGATATATACATATTTGTGTAAACATTTTAAATTTATTTAGGTAAGATGCTTTTGTGTGAGCATTTGGGGAAATATTTATGCTTTTACTTCTGTATTTATGAATTGTGTTTTGAATTTACGAATCGGATTTTGTAAATGTAAATTGTGCTGTGCATTTATGAATTTTGTTTTATAAATGTATTATTTTTGAGGCCGATCTGGCTCCATACGATATCGGTATATCGGCCGATATTCTTTGTATATACTATAGTACAGTACCAGTCTAAAGTTTAGACACATTTCCCATTCAACTATTGACTGGTACTGTATATAGAATTCATTTTATACATAACCAGAATATATATATACATAAACACATGACAAATTCTGCAAAATTCCATGTTATACAATAAATTCCGTTTTTATGACTGGATTCCGCGATTCTGTCCATGAAATCATCGGGCCCTATTAATGTAGCAAATGAGTATGATAAGCTCATTGAGTAAAAGAACACGCACACTCACACACACACGCAAACACACACACACACACACAAACATACATATTCACACACACTCTCTAACGATGCTTTTGGGAAACGCACCCCTGGCTTGATTTGTGTGTGTGTGTGTGACTACAGCCGGGCATCAGTCCTGAGGTCAGGAGGAAACTCGGAGAGGCCGCGGTGCGAGCAGCTAAAGCAGTCAACTACGTAGGAGCAGGTGATGATAATGCCATGTGACGTCAGCAAAGACGCATTAAACTGATCAAAAGAGATCAGTTTCTATTTCAAATAAATGCTGTTCTTTTCAACTTCCTAGTCATCAAAAAATCCTGAAAAGATGTTACAGTAAGTTATGTATTTCACAAACTAGTTAGCAACTTACCGTTAAGAGTCGTGAAGACACTGGCGCTGCCTGAAAAAGAGACCTCCTTAACTGAAGTGATAGGGTTGGCTTGTGTCACTTCTTTTCAACTTCCTAGTCATCAAAAAATCCTGAAAAGATGTATCAGTTTCCACAAAAGCAGAATAACCGTTTTTAACATTGATGACGAGCAGAAATGTTTCTAATCAGCATATTAGAATGATGCTGAAAATTCAGCAATAAATTACATTTGAAGATATATTCATATAGAAAAGTTATTTGAAACGGTAACAATATTTCACAATGTTACTGTTTTTACTGTATTCTTGATCAAATAAATGCAGCCTGTGTGAGCTTTTCGCAACAAAACCCGCCCAATTGCTACTCAAAACTAGCCCAATAGCGTTCTGGGGGGTAAAATACATGTTTTTTGGTGGGGTTCCTTTGGTACAATTCGCATTCCATGGGATAAATATCACGTTATTGGGATCGCTTCAACCCGTGGACATGGAAAAACAACCCGCGGCAACAGTGTTAAAGTAGCCCGATTCCGCAGAAAAACCACAGACTTGGCAACAGCAGAAATGTTTCTAATCAGCATATTAGAATGGTGCTGAAAATTCAGCAATAAATTACATTTGAAGATATATTCATATAGAAAAGTTATTTGAAACGGTAACAATATTTCACAATGTTACTGTTTTTACTGTATTCTTGATCAAATAAACGCAGCCTGTGTGAGCAGAAGAGACTTCTTTCAAAAACAATAAAAAATCATACCGACCCCACTTTTGCATGGTAGTGCACATTGTTTTTATGTTGCCGATTTTAATAGATAATATATATATATTGATTTGATAATTAATTGTTAATATCGTTTAATTAATTTAGTAAAATATAATTATTTAAAGGAAATCATTTATTCACTATTACGACTGGTGAAACATTCAATATAGGTCTGTAACTTGGCAGAAGTTTGAACGGTTGTTTTCTAACAGGTACTGTGGAGTTCATCATGGACGCGCAGCACAATTTCTACTTCATGGAGTTCAAGAACTTGATATATACATATTTGTGTAAACATTTTAAATTTATTTAGGTAAGATGCTTTTGTGTGAGCATTTGGGGAAATATTTATGCTTTTACTTCTGTATTTATGAATTGTGTTTTGAATTTACGAATCGGATTTTGTAAATGTAAATTGTGCTGTGCATTTATGAATTTTGTTTTATAAATGTATTATTTTTGAGGCCGATCTGGCTCCATACGATATCGGTATATCGGCCGATATTCTTTGTATATACTATAGTACAGTACCAGTCTAAAGTTTAGACACATTTCCCATTCAACTATTGACTGGTACTGTATATAGAATTCATTTTATACATAACCAGAATATATATATACATAAACACATGACAAATTCTGCAAAATTCCATGTTATACAATAAATTCCGTTTTTATGACTGGATTCCGCGATTCTGTCCATGAAATCATCGGGCCCTATTAATGTAGCAAATGAGTATGATAAGCTCATTGAGTAAAAGATGGGGTCATTGTTTATTAACTTTACAGTAAGTTATGTATTTCACAAACTAGTTAGCAACTTACCGTTAAGAGTCGTGAAGACACTGGCGCTGCCTGAAAAAGAGACCTCCTTAACTGAAGTGATAGGGTTGGCTTGTGTCACTCAGGGTTGCCAGGTTTTCGCAACAAAACCCGCCCAATTGCTACTCAAAACTAGCCCAATAGCGTTCTGGGGGGTAAAATACATGTTTTTTGGTGGGGTTCCTTTGGTACAATTCGCATTCCATGGGATAAATATCACGTTATTGGGATCGCTTCAACCCGTGGACATGGAAAAACAACCCGCGGCAACAGTGTTAAAGTAGCCCGATTCCGCAGAAAAACCACAGACTTGGCAACACTGCTGTCACTACTGTGACCTGGGTCATCAGTTGCAAACAATTGAGCGCGCTCTGCTGGACAAACTAAGTAATTACACCATCTGCAAGCATTTTATCTGCGTTATAAGTTCTGTAAAAAAAATTCATATCGGTGGCATATATGCCGATGCAGATATATCTGTGACAGGCTCATATCGGCCGATAAATTCAGCAAAACACATGGATGTACGTCACAACAAACCATAAAACATCTGTGGCATTGCAGCTTTAAAGTCTGAAGGAAAAATACGTAATAATTATGACAATACAATCGACAATCGTGTGTAGTGGAGAATACACTTATGGAGCGTCTTTAAAATAATGCATTTATAAGTTAATTATTTTTAATTATGATTGGTTGCTAACTGCTGTATGTCTGTTGAACATATGTAAGGTGATGAAGTGTCTGCTCATTATGATCCAATGATCGCTAAACTGGTGGTTTGGGGGGAAGATCGCTCAGCCGCTCTGAAGAGACTCAGATACTGCCTTCGACAATACAACGTAAGCACTCATTCTAATCTTTACGGTTGCGTTAGCGAAATTTTGCTGAGGAAAGGTCTGTTGTCCGTTGTCAATATTGCAGCACTTTCAAACCAAGCAAACCAAATGCGAGCGAAGTTTGCGCGAGGAGCTTTTTTGCCATTCGCACGGATTGCGATCGAAATGACTGGATTTTGTCAGCAAAATTTCGCAGACCAACAATAAATGTGACCGCGTTCATCATGGACGCGCAGCACAATTTCTACTTCATGGAGATGAACACGCGTCTGCAGGTGGAGCATCCCGTCTCAGAGATGATCACGGGCACAGACCTGGTGGAGTGGCAACTGCGCGTAAGATCAAGCTCATGGACTTCAGAAACTACTGAAAATATTCACTTGTTTCCCAAATATTGCAGATTCGTCCACAAGGGGTCACAATCGCACCTTTCTTTACACTTAATCAGTTTTATTCGTTTTTTTTTTAATCAGACGTGGTGTCTTCGTTCATCAGGTGGCTGCGGGGGAGAGGTTGCCCCTCTCTCAGAAGCAGATCGTGTTGCGGGGTCATTCTTTTGAAGCCAGAATATACGCCGAAGACCCCAATAACAACTTCCTTCCCGGAGCGGGGCCGCTGCTACACCTGTCCACGCCGCAGGGGGATCAGTGCACACGCATAGAGACGGGGGTTCGAGAAGGTACTCTACATTTAATCTCACGTGACTTATGATTTACCATTTACAGGTGAAAAAAATAAAACAGTTTGAGGAGGTTTTCAACAACAACAACCAAAAAAAATGGCAGTTTTGGCCATTCATTTACATGACAGTGGCGTTTTTGGGGGCCTCAAAACAAACTTTTTGATAACAGGTTTCAAAGTGCAAGTTTTTGAAAATGATACAATTATTGTCTCTGTATAAACTACAAAAATGTGAATTAGAAAAATGGTGACGACGTGCGCATGTGGATTGCGTGTTCATGTAGTGTCAAGTAAATCGCCAAATACTGGCCTTGCATGCATAATACAGCGTTTTAAGTTGTTTTTACAGATCCGTGTGAACGCGGATCGTTAGTTTTTTTTACAGTTTAAATAATTGAGCGAAATTTTGCTGAGGAAAGGTCTGTTGTCCGTTGTCAATATTGCAGCACTTTCAAACCAAGCAAACCAAATGCGAGCGAAGTTTGCGCGAGGAGCTTTTTTGCCATTCGCACGGATTGCGATCGAAATGACTGGATTTTGTCAGCAAAATTTCGCAGACCAACAATAAATGTGACCGCACCTACAGTGGTGGCCAAAATGATTAGAACACTAGTATTTTCAGCAGCTAAAAAATGGTTTCAAGTCAGTTATTTCTATCCTTTGCTGTAGTGTGTCAGTAGGAAAGGTTTAGGTTTCTTGAAGCATCTTGGAGACGCTGCCACAGTTCTTCTAGATTTAGTGTGTCTCAGTTTGTTCTGTTTCTTCATGTCATTCCAGACAGACTGGATGATGATCAGATCAGATCTCTGTGTGGACCACTGGCTGTCGTCAGGCAAAAATCTCACTGGATTGTTACAAATAATGGCAAAATGAATGTTTGGAAATGTAAACTGATATTTCCTACTGACACACTACAGCAAAAGATAGAAATAACTGACTTGACACCATTTTTAGCTGCTGAAAATACTAGTGTTCTAACAAGTTTGGCCACCACTCTGTAACATATTGAATCATACACTTCCAAGACATTTAAAAACAACACTACTGCATAATTTACTTAACCTGAACAACTGAATCAGAATTTGACTTCCTTCAGTATTCTTAATATTAACATCGTGTATGTCTATTTCACAGATTGTGGGTCTCAACACCAACATCGACTTCTTACTCAGTCTTTCGGGGCATGCGGAGTTCGAGGCAGGAAACGTTCACACCAGCTTCATCCCGCAGCACTATGATCAGCTGTTCCCAGCAGCTCAAAGGCCATCCGATGCACTGCTCTGTCAGGCCGCCCTGGGTCTGCTGCTCCGCGAAAAACAGCATACAGAGATGTACAGAAACCAAACCAGTGGTGAGAATGCATCGTTTGTAGTTTTTAAGATCATGAGAAACTAATTCAAGTGTGTCGAAACTTTAGTCTGCTGGGTTTTGGTGTTCATTGATGGTACAGTGTGTGTTTTGGCACATGAAGCTTGTTTGAGATGTTAACCTAAGCTTCCTGTTGCAGACATGTTCTCTCCGTTTGCCTCCAGTAACGGGAGACGATTGGATTGCGTGTTCATGTAGTGTCAAGTAAATCGCCAAATACTGGCCTTGCATGCATAATACAGCGTTTTAAGTTGTTTTTACAGATCCGTGTGAACGCGGATCGTTAGTTTTTTTTACAGTTTAAATAATTGATTTTTTTCCCCCATGTTAAAATATTAGAACCATTTTTGTTGCTGTGTTTGTATTATGCTAATTAAATTTCGAGAGGTATACAGTGGTGTGAAAAAGTGTTGGCCCCCTTCCTGATTTCTTAGTTTGAGATGTTAACCTAAGCTTCCTGTTGCAGACATGTTCTCTCCGTTTGCCTCCAGTAACGGGAGACGATTCAATGTCCTGCACTGCAGGAACCTGACACTGCAGCTCGGGGACGACAGTAAGCGCTCATGCTCTGATAAACACACACACACAGTCCGAAGCAGTGACTGATACACACCTGTCAACATGATTTCACTCTGAATGATCACTATAGAAGCCTTAAATAGAATCTGCACAGCAAGATCTGTATAGACGAGTGAATCTCACCAAGAAGTGTCTTCAAATATAGTCAATTATATTTCGCTTAAAGAAAACAAAGCTCATTTTTAGCACCATTATTTTGCTTTCTGACATTGCTATTATTTAATAAGTAATTAATATCTCTTTTGCAGAAGTGGCATTATCTATTACTTACAATCCAGATGGGACATACTGTATGGAGGTAAATTCTGTTTTAGACTGCAAAATGTTATATGCAAACCTGCATGTGTATATATATATATATATATATATAATCACAATAGTTATATATTTTTGCTTTAAATTTGCTTTAAATAAGGTCTTTATGATATCAAACATTTTGATACCATAGAAATGTCATAATTCTTGTCATATCACAAAAAACTAATGCTAGCCTAAATAAAAAAAATTAAAACAATAAATAAAAACTCTAGCTCACTGAAGACAAGTAAACAGTCAGTGATTAAATAAGAAACTAACAATACAAGCAACACTAAAAATTACAAGCAATAGGAGAAAAAAATTACAGTAGAACAAATAAATAAGAAATGCTACATTTTTATAAACTAATCAAATGTATAAAAACACTGCATATTCTTCACTGTGTAAATTAACTATATATTTATTGTAATTAAAGTTACAAAAGTGATTTAGTCTTGAGCAGTGAGAGATTTTCTCTTTTGTTGTTTGATTAACATGAATGACAGAAAGCAGGAATATTAGACTGCTGTCACTTTAAGAGCTGCCCGTATCCAATACTGTTACAGCCATTTGCTTTACCTTAAGACATAAATGACTGTGTTTACGAGAATACTTGCAAAGACGGCATTTTGACACACACTAGTGTGTGTGTATTTAACCGTTCAAGGCCTATAAAGCGGCAAAAATAACCGTCTTCATGTGCACGCGCCTCTCTGACAGCACGTACATATAGCGGAATTAATTCTCTTTCGCTGCTGATTGCGTTTCAGTGGCTTGTTTTTAAACTGCAATGCTTTAAAAATGTGTGCAAACGATAAGTTTTCATGGCCACGCAGCACATCAACATCACGTGAGCATGTAACCACAATAGAGACGATAGTCCAATATATATATATATATATATATTTAAGCTTATCTCGTTAATTCGTTAAGCTTATCTCGTTAATTGTGTCTACCGGTATATCGCCCCCCCCTCTATTTCACATAGTCTTAAGTTAAGTGTCATTATGTACTAAACATGAACTTTCACACGTCTTCATTTGTGGTTGTTAGACTGGAGGTCAGGTGTTTCATGTATCAGGAGAGCTGCAGATGGAGGGAGACGTGACCTACCTGTGGTGTTCCGTCAATGGAGTGCTGTCCCGACCCAAACTAGTCATTCTGGAATATATATATATATATATATTTAAGCTTATCTCCGGTTAATTGTGTCTACCGGTATATCGCCCCCCCCTATTTCACATAGTCTTAAGTTAAGTGTCATTATGTACTAAACATGAACTTTCACACGTCTTCATTTGTGGTTGTTAGACTGGAGGTCAGGTGTTTCATGTATCAGGAGAGCTGCAGATGGAGGGAGACGTGACCTACCTGTGGTGTTCCGTCAATGGAGTGCTGTCCCGACCCAAACTAGTCATTCTGGACAACACCGTACACATCTTTTCTATGGTGGGTTTCTTTCATCCTTATATTACACTTCACCATTAAGTCAGGACTATTGATGATCTTTTGTGTTTTGTTTTTGCCCTTGTTTAGGAGGGAAGTGCCCAGGTGGACATACCTGTGCCCAAGTTCCTGGCTGGTGTTAGTGGCTCCAGTGCACAGGGTGGCGCTGTTGCACCCATGACAGGCACTATCGAAAAGGTATTTAAGGCATCTGTGGTTGAAACCCAGTTTGTGTGAGACCAGAATAATGCATCCCAAATCAAACTATTAATTAATCTACATGGAACCCAAAAAGCAACTTCTGGAACTTGCCTTTGCTTTGTTTCTAGGTCTTAGTCAAGGCTGGAGACTCTGTCCAGAAAGGAGATCCTCTAATGGTGATGATTGCCATGAAAATGGAGGTGAGGCTCTGTCACTTTCTCATTAAGTGCACGTTATAGTCCATATTATAACTGATCGGGTCCTTCTCTTTCTGGGCAGCATACAATCCGTGCACCAAAAGCAGGAGTCATCAAGAAGGTGTTCTTCAAAGAGGGCTCACAGGCTAGCCGTCACGCAGCTCTGGTAGAGATGGAGCAAGAGGAAGGAGCTGGGGAAGAGTAAACCTAGTGACATCACACACAGAGGACTGGAAATCCTGAACTTGGATAAGTTGCTGCGCAATACAATGATCTTGATCTTGAGAAGCACTACAAATTAGTTTGGATCTTTTGAGATTTAACAAGGCCATTAACATATAAAAGATCACCAGTCATCGTCCAAATCCTTTAATTTAGAACTGTGTGCTGCAAGAACAGCTCACATTTCCCAAAACCTGCAGTACTCCGACAAGAAAAAGTACGTACGTCTGCTCAGACCCTGACGTGACGCTAAGCACATTTCCACGTCAAAGCCAGCTTTTACAAATATAAGCGTTGGCGTGGATTTAAGCGTACGCACTAAGATCAAATCTGTGTGTACGCACATTTTATAAATGGGGCCCTAGGACTGATGCTCCAGCTGTTCATACTCTATACATTTTAGAATTAAACAATGTTGTTCGTACTGTACCCACAAGATTTAATACCGCACACATTTATCAGGCTAAAACTGAAGTGATTCTGGAAGCAAAACCATTCTTCACAGACAAAGTGAACAACAACACAACATCTTTCCAAAACTGATTCGCCACAAGCTCTAAGGTAGTTCTGTGATGATAAATGGTATTCTTATTTATAAAATAAGATTTTGGTATTACTTTCAATAAAGAATGAAGTTGCCCCGAAGAGTTCAGTAGGGCTTTTCACATTGCGTTTAACCCTGCCAAATGGTGACCGAAAACATGAACGTTTCAGTAGTCGTTTCAGTTTATTTTTGAAACAAATCCCCAGCAAATCTCGATTTTTAATCAAGTTACGATTTTAAATGACAAAGGCGAATTGAAACCCCAATGGCAACTCACAAATACGGTGGTGGGTAGGGTGCACAGGGATTTGTTTACACATTTTTGAAACAAATCCCCAGTGAGTAGCGACAAAAGCAAAGACAAAGCTCCAAGATCAGACTGTGAATAAGGCTCTAGGTCAGGGGTGGCGAACTCTAGTCCTGCAGAGCCGCAGCCCTGCAGAGTTCAGCTCCAACTCTATTTAAAATTCACCTGCCTGTAGCTTTCTAGTAACCCTTCATACTTTGATTAGCTTGTTCAGCTGTGTTTGATTAGGGTTGAAGCAAAACTCTGCAGGGCTGCGGCTCTCCAGGACCGATGTTCTAGGTGCAGGGCTGTGGTAGGTGGGCTACAAGGGGATTAATTTCCCTTTATTACTGAAATAGATTCTTCTGAGCTGCTCAAACAAATATTTTGATGTCAGAGATTCACATAGCAAAGGGCCAGATTTACTAACAGCTTGTACCGGCGCAAACCGTCTTTTGCCGTTAAATTATTACTGTCAGGATTTACTAAAGACGCGTGGTGAAAGGGCATGGACACAGTTATTTTTGTGCCTGACCTTCTTGAATATGAAGGTGAACTGGGGGTTTGGTGCCTTGGTATTGAGGGTAGAGGAGAGAACTGTTCATTCACACCACCCACCTACAACTCCTGCCAGTGCTGAGACTCGAACCTGCATCCGACTCTCCAACAATTAGGCCACAATTTTCTAGGACAGTGGTTCCCAATCCTGGTCCTGGAGAACCCCCAACACTGCACATTTTAGATGTCTCCCTATTCAAACACACCTGATTCAACTCATCAGCTCATTAGCGAAGACTCCAAGACCTCAAATGTGTGTGTCAGATAAGAGAGACACCAAAACCGTGCAGTGCTGGGGGTTCTCCAGGACCAGGATTGGGAACCACTGTTCTAGGAAATAGCAGTGCAGGTATTTGGGGAGAGTTTTGCAGGGTAAAAGAAAAACACTCATGTTGGTGACATAAGCGACCCAGAGGAGCTTTTTTCGGTGCTCTCCACCTTTTGTTGTATTTTGAAACACCCTGCCACGGTGTCCATAGATGGTGGCCAGGTAGGAGGTCAGGTGCCTGTAGAAGCTCCTCTGGTCCACTGGAACATAAAGGCAAGCTGCACAGAGAAAGGGAGATCTGTTACAGGGCACATCGGCCACCAAAGTTCGAGAGGTGTGTGCAGTGAGAGCTTGCTAAGCATTTCTGGGGCGGCCTCTCTGGCCTAGGATCAGGACTTTTGTAGCACCGACTTTGGGAGCCACCACTTCTTGGGATGCTTCTCAATATCCCTCCTTGTTTCCTCGCTCCTCCGTACTGTGACCTGGATCTCAATTATCTAATTGCACCGCTAGAAGTCGAGGAACAAGGAGTGAGGAGGCTTCCAGAGGAGCTATGAGCAAGGATACACAGGTGTATCCTGTGCGGAAGTCTTTTTAGTCGAAAAACCTGATGCACATAAATTCTCCTCCCCCTTCACATCTGTCGTAATCATTTTAATTTATATTTGACCTTTGCAGATTAAATAACTCATACATGTCATATATTTCCACAGGGCATCTTGCTTTATTAATATTTATTATGTCTTAAATAACAAACTTTAACAACATAAGGGCAGATCGCTTTAGCACAGCTGATGACGCTTTGAAGTGACGCTTGAGTGATCAAGAATATTACAATGTACAAATAACCGTTTCTTTGATTCCGCTATCCTCATTTTTTTCCTTGCATCCTTCCCTCATATCCTAACTGGGGTGGAGCTAAGATGAAAGGAAAGGATCGAGGATGCACAAATTTAACTTGAAAAGCACCCTTGGCCTGCTTCATGACCACCTCGTGCACAGGGGTGGCGTTTCTGTATGGCAGTTGCCATACCCTAGCCTCCCCACCAGGGCCATCCTTAGGGGGGTGCTTGAGGGCCCCGCGGCGAACGGACCGAGGGGGACAACAATCCCCCCCACCCCCTACCTCGCACCGGGCCCCGCGTCAGCTAAGGACGGCCCTGCTCCCCACCATACTCCGGTTGTTCTTTGCCATACCCTAGGCCAGTGGTTCCCAACACTCTCAAGTCTCTATTAATGAGCTGATGACTTGAATCAGGTGTGTTCGATTAAGGACACATGCAAAACATGCAGTGTTGGGGTGCCTCCAGGACCAGGGTTGGGAACCACTGTCCTAGGCATTCGTCCCCCACGACTCCAGAATGCCATTTCAACTGAGTGGGGAATACAGAATCCTGGAATGCGATTTCTACCGATCTTAAGATAAAATGGTTTTTAAGATCAGGAGAAACAAATTCAGGTGTTTCCAAACTTTAGTCTGCTGGGTTTTGGTGTTCATTGATGGTACAGTGTGTGTTTTGGCACATGAAGCTTGTTTGAGATGTTAACCTAAGCTTCCTGTTGCAGACATGTTCTCTCCGTTTGCCTCCAGTAACGGGAGACGATTCAATGTCCTGCACTGCAGGAACCTGACACTGCAGCTCGGGGACGACAGTAAGCGCTCAAGTACTTTAGTAACATATAAATGATATTATAACTTTGATCACTTTTATCCAGGGGTGCCCAAACTCGGTCCTGGAGGGCCGGTGTCCTGCAGAGTTTAGCTCCAACCCCAATTAAACACACCTGAACCAGCTAATCAAGCTCTTATAGGCATACTAGAAACTTACCAGCAGGTGTGTTGAGGCAAGTTGGAGCTAAACTCTGCAGGACACCGGCCCTCCAGGAACGAGTTTGGGCACCCCTGCTTTTATCGCTTTAAAATACATTGAATAACGATTGTTGTAATGGAACACAGGACACGTGCTTCATCTTCATGATCACCAGATGGCACTAAAGTGAACCATGCAGAAAAGCTTCAGATAATGAGCTAAGTATTGAAGGCCTAATTTCTTCATTTTGCAAAAGGAATAGTTTGAAAATTGTCAAACTGTGTCTGGATCATGTTTTGCGGTTAGACCGGAGGTCAGATGGAGGGAGACGTGACCTACCTGGGGTGCTCCGTCAATGAAGTGCTATAGAAACCCAGACTTGTTATTATGGACAACACCGTACACATCTGTTCTGGTGTTTTTTTTCCCTTTCTTTCTTCAGCATTTATGTCATGACTGGTCTATGTGCAGGTGTACTCACCTGGTGTCTCCAGTGCACAGGGTGGCACTGTTGCACCCATGACAGGCACTACTTAAAAGGTAATTCAGGCTCAAGTCCTGTACCTAAAGTATGCAAGAAAACCCCCCAAAAGTGAACCGTACCGAGCCGTACCATGCAGTGGAAAAGCACCACAAATCATAGGTCAGTGTTGGTTAGTTGGCAATACCCAACCCTAATATACACTGGACACAAGTTTAATGACATGGTAGTGTTCTTATGTTGTCATATTGTCCAAGTACATACATGTAAGTACTTAATATGCAAAGTGTTTTATTATATATAAGAACAGTAAGATGGTTCAGGGCCAGTTTAAAACTGCTATCAGAAATTGATTGGAAAGTCACTACTCGTTACAATATTTTAAGAAAGCACGACTCAAAATTCTTCTAGTTTTGCAGTTTATGAGGTTTCCTCAGACACACAAGAAAGTTTCTAACTTTCATTTCAGAGTAAATGGTTCTTTTCCATATTGAGAGTTTGTATTTGCTGTCACCTGGAACATTCAGTCCCTGTGGTTATTTTGTACCATGATGTCATTGTTTGGAAGATAAAGATGGGTTTGTTGGCCCCATTTTCCTGAATGTCCACCATCTGAAATGCTTGGATGATTTTCCGGGTTAACCACTGGATGACTGTGGACTGAAGCGACTCTTCCATTAAACAAATTTGCAAGTATTTGCATTCCAACAAAACCAAACCACTAAAGTATGCAGAGAAAACTGTAATCACTTTGAGCCTACTGTACAAGTCTGTTTAAAGAGTAGTTGCCAACATTTGTGCTGCCAGAGTCACACTTGAAGAAAGAAGAAAAAAGAAAAAGAAAAAAAAACTGCTTAGCACAGTGTTATCTCTTGAATCTTATGGTGAGTGCACACCAAAAAATAATTAAATTATTTGCACAAGAAGATTACCTACAAGTCAATGCAAAAACGTGAATTGGTACGAATTTGCGCCGGGTGACGCAAATTGGGCAATGTGATTACCACAAACGCACAGTAATTGCCTCAATCACGTCTTCCGCGCAAGTTGAAAAATTTTAACTTGAGCGGGAAATTCGCATATGTTGTCGCACAAGCCAATCAGAGAAGAGCTTATTCACAAGTCCAGTTTGTATCAGAAAATGAAAGGAG